GGGGGGGAATGGACTGTGAGCTCCTGCACTCAGAGGGGCACTGCAACACCAGGACTGGGACTGAGGTCAAAGTGGAGGCACTCAAAATGTTATTCCAAAAAACATTCAGTTTTTTCTGGAATTTTTGATCTTTTTCAGACATTTTTTCAGTATTTCTTTGACATTTCTTACTATTTTTGGGACAGTAATTACTTAGTAATGTAAATGCTATAAGACAATAACATATTTTAAAGGACTTCTAAGGAGGATAATAATACTGGCTTTTAAAAAGAAAAACTGCCTTTTTTTTCTAGAATGTTGGATATTTTTCAGAAATGTTTCCAGTATTTATTTGATTTATTTTTACAAATGTTTCAAATATTTTGGAGAATAAATATTTAAAAAAATGTCCATGTCGAAATATATACATTTATAATTAAAGTGGACTTATTATGCTGTATTGGAAAAATATATTGTAGGACCATACCTATACAAAACATGTCTTTGAAGTGTTTTGCTTTAAATACCAAACAGATCAGCCATTGCAGCCATGCCTCATTCTGCTCACACGCCTCTCTTTTGAAGCCCTATTAGAGAAACGCGGATTTTGGGTCCTTAGCTTGAAAAAAAGAAAGAGGAGGCGGAGCTAATGCCTGATATGAATTCTACCAGAGATACATTTAAGTTCGGTTGTGATAAAACGCCATCCTGTTCTAAACCACATCAAGGATTATTTCTGAAACAGTATGGAGCTCAAATGCTTTTTCTCTTGCAGGTTTATCACAAGGTGAGTTCTTTTTTTATTTCCTGCTTTTTAAACACGTGCTCTCCAGTACAGGTTAGCTCTGAGTGTTAGCGATGCTAATGTAAACAAAGACGAGATTACGTCCAAATCACGCCAGGCATTGCTTCTGATAGCAACTTTCTGTGGGTCCACTGCCGATTTTTACGTCAGATCGGCAGCAAATCTGTATCCGCTTGTTGTACACCCGTTTTTAGATTTGGGTACGGAGGAAAAGAGAGAGGGTTTTATTTTCTGACGCTGCGTGAGTTCCCCGACACACCGGGGACACATGTTTATGTATAAAATACATCAAAAAGTACATTTTGCATGATAGGTCCCCTTTAAGTCATGTAAATGCTATAATAAAACAATATATTTTTAAAGGACTTCTAAGGAGGATAATAATACTAGCTTTTTAAAAAAAATCCAGCCTTTTTTTTCAATTTATTTTCAGGAATTTGTGGATAATTTTCAGAAATGTTTCCAGTATTTCCTTTAAATGTTTTACTATTTTTTCAAGATATTTTTTGGACAGTAATTACTAACATTATAATTGTTTTGCATATCATAATATATACATTTATAATTAAATAATGTAAATGCTATATTATATACATTTTTAAAGGATTTCTAAGGATGACAAGCTCTCGATTTAAATACCGTTACAACTTTTTTCCATGAACATTTTGTTAAACCATGATTGTTCTCAGTGGAAGCCCCTCATGCCAATACAACAATACAAAATAAACTAGAATATTGGCCTTGTGATTTAATCAAAAAGTATAAAAATAACGAGGAACTTATTCTGAGATACTAAGTCGTTATTTTGCGAAAATATCACTTTTTTTTGTGAATGTCTCGAATTATATTTAGAGTAAAAAATTCATTTCAACAGAGATTGGATGAATCAGCCAAGTGTTTCATAAGTGACATAGAATGGCCTTAAAAGCACCAAAACGTATCACCAATGTTCTGTTGGTTACCGACCAACTAACCCACGTTGGTGACATGTGCAGAGCGTATAAAACCTCACCCACCGCACAAAGCTGCTCAAAGCCACAGCTAGAAAACTCTGTGAAAAACCAGGCAGGTACTCAGAAGCTAAAATGTGCCGCTTGGCTCTTTAATATCAAAACTATAAAACATGATACACACACATAGTATAAATACAATTAGTTGTTTAGCAGCTGGGAAAGGCTTTCAAGGCACTTCAACAGGTATTCATTCAGAGGCTCCTTCTTCTTCTTCTCTGCTTCTGTGGTAAATGGAGAAAAAACACACATTTGTAAACAACAACAGGAAATAAAGAAACACATTTTACATTAAAGGGAATACATGCATACCCTTCTTAGAGACGGCGCGGGCCTCCTCTACTCTCAATCGAACGGAGGGACATTTTAAAGTAGTCTTCGCCTTTGAGGGGAAATCAGAAAGGCATATGAGGTTGAGTGAAATCTCTCAGTTTATAATCAGGAGATAGAAGTGTGTTCTGTACGTGAGAGGACAACGAAGCTAGCAGAATCATTTATAGAAACAGACAGAGTGAAGACATTCAATTTGAAATATATCACCAATAAACCAGCCTTTGAGATAGATAGATAGGTAGGTAGAGAGAGAGAGAGAGAGAGAGGGAGAGAGAGAGGTAGAGAGAGAGAGAGAGGTAGGTAGGTAGGTAGAGAGAGAGAGGGAGAGAGAGAGGTAGGTAGGTAAGTAGATAGGTAAAGAGAGAGGTAGGTAGGTAGGTAGAGAGAGAGAGAGGTAGGTAGATAGGTAGAGAGAGAGGTAGGTAGGTAGGTAGATAGAGGGAGAGAGAGAGGGAGAGAGAGGGAGAGAGAGAGGGAGAGAGAGAGGTAGGCAGGTAAGTAGATAGGTAAAGAGAGAGAGAGAGAGAGAGAGAGGTAGGTAGGTAGATAGGTAGAGAGAGAGGTAGGTAGGTAGGTAGATAGGTAGAGAGAGAGGTAGGTAGGTAGGTAGATAGAGGGAGAGAGAGAGGGAGAGAGGTAGGTAGGTAGGTAGGTAGGGAGAGAGAGAGAGAGAGAGAGAGA